GATAAGGTCTGTGAGATGCTGGAGGCAAAGGTGACAAAGTTCAGCAGGTTATTTGTCTGCTTGAGAGGCTGGTGCAAGGGCCTGGCTAAAACAACCAGTTCCCTTGAGGAAGATAAACCCAGTGCTGGCAGCAGTATTCTCTCTCTCTCTCCCTCTCACTTTCGTTTCCTCTGCAGCAGGAAAGGGGGAATATGGAAAGTCGGCTCTACCAACTCCCGAGAAGTCCTTGGGCTGAGAGCCTGTGGGAAAACCCACAGACTTACTTCCCAGCCACTTTTCCTGGCCATCCTTAAGGCCCAAAGAGATTCTTCCTGCGTTGAAAACTCAGTTTGCGTTTCCAAACCCACTGAACACTTAGTTTCGGTTTCCAAACGTCACCAGGGCAGGGAGGAGCCTGCCGGCGGGGTAGCTTCTGAGTTTAAAGGGGAGGAGTCCTACATTGCTGAGAGGGACCCCGGCCCTCTCTCCGCTCCGAGAGAGGACCGATAAAGCCCCACCGCCATCCCCGCTGTTTCAGCTTTTCGGCTTGGAGGAAAAAGGCTGGAGCGTGCACCTTTCAATAGCTGAGCGTGCAGGAGAGAAGAGATTCTCCCAGGCAGCCAGCCTCGGCCTTTGAGATGGAGTTTGGCCCTCCGGACCTGTATGACACCCCTGCCTCCAGGGTGGATGCCTTTGTGGGGCAGAACCTTCAGCCCCAGGGAGACTGGAAGGAGGAGATGCAAGATGCCTGCCAGAGAACTGAACGGTTCCTGAGGGATCAATGCTTCCGAGATGCGCTGATTCTGGACCAAGAAGTCAGGGTGCTGAAGGTGGTGAGGGTGAGCACTCGGGGACCCTGGGAGCTCAGATCCCCGCTCTGCCCCTTCGAGTGGGATCACGTCATCTCTCTGAACGTCAGTCTTCTCATAATATGGTTATTAAGAGGTGTCGATCGTATCAGGTATCAGGCATCGTCAGAACAAAAAATCATATCATTGTGAATGAGGGGGAGTGCAGAGTGGGGACCCAAAGCCCATCTGTAGGCAACTGGACATCCCCTTAGGGGAGGGTCTCGGGGAGGAGATGATCCAGTTGGGTGCAGTGTAGCAATGATGAAACATACAACTTTCCTCTAGTTCCTAAATGCTTCCTCCCCCTCCAACCCACCCACTATCATGATCCCAATTCTACCTTACAAATCTGGCTAGACCAGAGGATGTACACTGGTACAGATAGGAACTGGAAACACAGGGAATCCAGGACAGATGAAACCTTCAGAACCAGTGCTTAGAATGGTGATACTGGGAGGGTGGAGGGAGGGTGGGGTGGAAATGGGGAACCAATGACAAGAATCTACATATACAACAGAAAAGTGGGTGAAGGGAGACACCGGACAGTGTAAGATATGACAAAATAATAATTTATAAATTATCAAGGGTTCATGAGGGAGGGGAGAAGGGGTAAGAGGGGGAAATGAGGAGCTGATGCCAGGGGCTTATGTGGAGACCAAATGTTTTGAGAATGATGAGGGTAAAGAATGTACAAATGTGCTTTACACAATTGATGTATGTATGGATTGTGATAAGAATTAAAAAAAAAATATATATATATATGATTATTAATCCAGCTCTCAAGAGATTCAGTCGACTGAGAATAGCAGTAGAACCCTGTAAGCTTTATGCTTTTTTGGTTTCTTTTGGAAGAAAGCCTACGTTATGCTCCCAGTCCTAAGGATGCCCTCCTGTATTGTTCTAGAACAGCATGTACTGATTGTGTTAGAAATTACTTGCCAATGACACGTTGATTCCTTGTGACTCCCGACTGTCTGGCCTGGAGAGACTTCGGAGACGGATGGCAACTCTTGCAGGGACATTTCTTTCTTTTTTTCCTTCTTTTTAAATCATGTATTGGGGGCTCTTGCAGCTCTTATCACATGCCATCCGTCCGTCTGTCCATCCATCCATCCATCCATCCATCCATCCATCCATGTGTCAAGCACATTTGTACCTATGTTGCCATCATCCTTTTCAAAACATTTTCTTTCTGCTTAAGCCCTTGATATCAGCTCCTCATTCCCTCTCCCCTCCCCACCCTCCCTCCTTCCTGAACCCTTGATAATTTATTAAAATATTTTTTTTTCATGGCAAGGACATTTCTTGGCCGGACTTATTCATGCTACGTGATGGCACTCACCTTCTTCCTTCTTCTCTTTCTTCTGGACACAAAACCCCAATCTCTAAGTCAAGGCCACCCTGCTGGTACAATGGTTACGAGTTGAGCTGGCGGTGGGAAACCACCAGCCACCCTGAGAGAGAAAGAGTCTGTCTACTCCCTCCCCTACAGAGTCAGTCCTAGACACCCCTGGGGGCAGTTCTACCCTGTCCTTTGGGGTTGCTATGGGATGGAATCAATCCCATGGTAGTGAGAGGAATCAGTGATAGATCTGAAGTCACAAATCCCTCCTGATTTTTTTAAAAGTAGTATGCAACTATTCTTGTTTTTAAAGCACCACAGAACTGGTCCCAACCTGTGGCAACCTCCAGGGGTTGTCAGAGTTCAGTCACAAACCTAGGGGCCTACGAGGTGGATGACGATGCTCTTCAGGAACACACACTGCTAACACGTTTGTGGATTACGACCACGTCCAAAACACATGGGAGTCACTACAAGACACTGTCCTTTACATGTGTGACCATGTAGGGAAAAAGCACATTCTTTAAAATGATTGGATACTTTTCAGGTGGGCCTCTACCAACTCACTTGCTCACAGTGGTTACACGTGAGGCTCTGGACGGAGGACACGGAGCTAGAACGTGAAGGACTCTGAAAAGAAGACTCCGCTGGCAGAGAGAGAATTAAGTCGAAACTCTAAGACAATGTCACCCATGTTAACGTGTAAAATTATTAACTAGATGACATTTGTGCACATTAGGACATAACTAGGTATCAAGGTCATCACGCTGAGTCAGGGAAGGGGACCGTGAGCTAGCATGCTGTCTACAGAACATTCTATACCTGGGAAGTGTATTGAGACGGCAGGGTTTCTGCATGCTGGCAGGGAGGGACGGGTATGTGGCTGTAAGTGAAGGGGGACTTAGTGATGGTATCATTCTGTATCTTGATCCAATGGTGGCTACGGGAATCTACACGTGATTAAAATGTCAGGAATGGCACACACACACACACACACACACACACACACACCAATGTCAGTTTCCTGGTTTTGCTCTTCTGCCATGTTTATGTAAGATGTAACCGTTGGGGGAAAAACCACCCTCCGTCTTCTCTTTCCAACCGCCTGTGAATCTATCATCATTTCAAAATCAAAAAGTTTCACTTAAAGTTTTTTCCCCCAATTTCATAGCCAGACACATAACATATGTACAACAGATATAGACACACAGACATGTATTTGTCTCGGCCAGAACCACCCACTAGAACTTTCTACAATGATGGAGACGTCTCTCTGTGCTGCCCCACACAGTAGCCACTAGCCTTGTGTGGCTAGTAAGCACGTGCAGAGGGGCTATGTGTGACTGAGGAACGGAAGGTGTTATGTCATTTCATGAAGTTCAACCTAAATAGCCCCGTGTGGCTTTTGGCTGCCAAATTGGACAGGTGTAGAAGACGGATGGAATGGTCTATAAGAACCTGGGAATCATGGCTACCTTTGGAGAAGAGATTTAAGTCCTAGAGTAGAATGGTGTGTATCAATTCATTTCTGTCCTCCCTTTAGCAAGCGTTTCTTTTCTCTGACCAATTGAAGGCAGAGTAGCACCCACAGCACAGGTAGACGGTGGAAGCCAAGGATGCCTTTTAGAGCCTGTGTGAATGGCCCGATTTGGATGGGAGCTCCAACCTCAGATGCCAGGCCCCCCCCCCCCACAGGTGAAGCTCAATGCTGTTGTCCCCACAGGGCGGCTCTTCCGGGAAGGGGACTACGTTGAAGCACAGCTCCGATGTGGACCTGGTCATATTCTTGAGCTGCTTCTCCAGCTTCCGAGAGCAGGCCCAGCACCGAGAACTCGTCATCAACTTCATCCAGGAGAAGCTGGACCACTGTAGTAGGAGTCTGGCTTACAACATATCCTTGGTCCAGCACAGAGTGAGGGCTAGGTCACCTCGCTCCCTGTCCTTCGAAGTGCAGTCCAAGAAGAGCAGCGATGTCATCCGGGTGGATGTGCTCCCAGCGTTCAATGCTCTGGGTAAAGTCAGCGTTGGGCCAGAGTAACCAGTCAAGGCCCCTTCTCCAACCTTGGTCTTGGGGGAGGTTTGGGAAAGTAGAAACCAATGAGAAAGGTTGGGGGGATAAGACGAGAGCTCTGCTTGAGGACTCAGTCCTTCCGTAAATGCATGCATTGCCACGGTCCAATTGTTTCCTTGGGGAAGGGCCTGCTCCCAGGTAAGGGGTTCCCACTGCCAAGCCAGCACTTCAAGTCTTGGGAGGCAGCCAGACAGAACAAGATTGAAGTCATATTTTTAAAACAGGCCTCTTCCTGTTCACCAATGTTGACCCTAAGACTTAGCAGTGGTGTGACCTTGACAAGCTATTAAACCCCTTCAAGACACCAACCTGTGAAAGGAGATGATTTCAGGTTGAATGCTAGGACACCATGGTGGACCTATTAAGATGCCAGTTTCCTCTGGCTCCACTGGTTTACCTACTTCATGAAGCTCTCCGGGGGATTCCATAGACTTAGCTTGGTGCCTGCCTCATGGTAAACCTTGGGTCAATGTGAGTTATTGGACATCCATGTGAACTGAATGTGCTACCCAAACCTCTAGGTCCCTAGGTCATTTCAAGCATTTCCAGCTTGACTATTAACCTAGGGGTGGGTGGTTCGAATCCATCCAGTGGCCCCAGGTAGGAAAATCTGGCCATCTGCTACCATAGATGACCACCAAGAAGGCACTATGGGGCCGTTCTCTGTTACACGCGGGTCATCCTGAGTCCGAACCGCCAGCAATGGGTCTGGTTCTTTGGGGTTGATTATTTTGGTTTTCGGGTTGTCCAACCCTCCAGGCACTTCTTTCGTGCCACTGACAGGGTTATAACATAGAAAGGATGCTATCGTGAAACGGGGGCCTGCATGAGATCCCTGAAGGAGCCCTGGTGGCCTAGCCCGTGGGGCTGCAAACCACAAGGTCAGCAGGTGGGATCCCACTAGGCACTCCTTAGGGAAAAAAAGATGAGGCTTTCTGCTTCCTTCACTTTATACAGCCTTGGAAACCCAGAGGACTCAACGCGGCGGGAGGGAGCTGGGCTTGGGGAGTTTCTAAGCACGCTAGACCTCTTCCTAGCTTCCTCCTCTCAAAGAGTGCATATGCATCTTCTCCTTCCAGGAACCTTCTTCCCAGATATGAAGCCGCCACCGGAAATCTATGAAGACCTGATCACTGCCGCCGGCCACCCTGGGGAGTTCTCGTCCTGCTTCATGGAGCTGCAGAGGTGCTTTGTGAAGAGTTGCCCGACCAAGGTGAAGAGCCTCTTGCGGCTGGTGAAGCACTGGTACCTGACGGTGAGAGACGGGCACCAGCCTAGGAGATGCCAGGACCGAGGGGAGGGTGGGCACATGACAGCATTGTTTTCCTTTCATTCTTTTTGATTATGAATTAGATGAAGGTGTATGAGGCCAGCCATACGTTTACATTCAACAGACTCTGATTCAACAGAGTTAATTCATACATCCTCTGATTCGACTGCCATCCGTAAGGTCCTATCACATGTCCCACTTCCCCCTTGGGCTTCCTGTTTCAATTCCTCCTTCTTTCCTTACCCTCTGGACTTTTTTTTTTTGAGGGGGGGCATAGTAAATTCTGCCCTTTTGATCTTAATTGGTGGATTGTTCTAACGTGGAGCTGAGTTCCGTTCCAGACCTCAAAGGTAAGGGTCATCGTCCAGGACTGGGGGATGGTGGCGGGGGACACGCACCAGTAAGCCTGGAATCTTAGGATTTTCAGGTCTGTCCATCCAGGACCGTCTCGTGCGATCCTTTTCAGGGCAGTTGGTAGGGGTCGCTAGGCACCCTCTAGTTCCTCTCGTCTCGGGTTGGCAGAGATGGGTGTGTGCATGACACGGGAATCCATGGGGCTCATTGTGTCCCTGTGCCTTGTGATGTTCATCACTCTCGGTGATGAGCGAACCCGACCACTGCCCTTTCGATGGCTGCCGACAGCTCTCAAGACTGCAGCCTCTTCCCACCAAATCCGGATGTGAGGTATTGTCTTGGTAAACTCGGTTATGCCCATCAACCTTGGTCCTGACAGCAAACCACCTCCGCCCAGGCCCAGGGACTCATTCCCTCAAGGTGTTTGGTTATGTCTGAGACGTTTTCATCACTCCGTCCTCCGTGCGCCAGCATAGTTGGACAAAGAAAACTATGCACCCAACCCAACTCTCCAAGCCTAGGGGACAGCTCGATAGTGTGAGTGAGCTAGTACACGTCACAGCGATTTATCGGCGGAGAGCACTGTGCACCGTGAAGGTTAGCTATTATTTGTCTCCGTTTGCTATTGCTGCCAAAACAGAAATGCAAAAAAAAAAAAAAGGTTGGGATCCAGGCGAAGGGGCAGAGACTCTCGGAGGAGGTGGAACAGCAAAAGGGGGAGGCTGCGTCCGAGGGGAGCACCTTGTGTCTGCCGTCATCAGGGACTGAGTTGGGGTCCTCTACACCTTTTCCAACCCTGCCACCCTGACTCCTGGGCACCTCAAACCCAGCCCGCCTGGGGATCCCCAAGAGCCTGGCCTCTGTCACTAGACATCCAGCTGGACGCCCTATCCTACCTCCTGCACAGTGCCCTGCAGGGGGCTTACCGCCTCCAACAGCCCCTGCCCTTCTCCCCCTCCTCCCCCTGCTGCACCCTGGAGGCGAGAAGGGTGGGATATTTATGACAGGACAGGCCAGGGCCAGTAGCAGTAGGGATGTGAGAGAGCTGAGAAACCCTAGCGAGGATGGCCAGGGGGTTCTGGGGCTGACCCTAAGGCCTCGCTGATGCCACCGCTGCCATCACCACCTCCTGCCAAGAATGGGAAGAAGGAAGCCCATGATCTGAAACCTTCCCCGGACACACCACCTACTGCCGAGGACTGGGAGTCCGAGCACTAAAACACGGAAGGTCCAATACCGCAGCACCAGAGAGGGCCTCTCCTGGCCACCTACCCTTGTCAGAGATCGTCCCAGAAGCAGGCGCCTCCACTCACCCATCCACCCCACAAAATAACTATGGTCCCAGGAGTGGTTCTGAGTGTCCCCTGGTGACACCTGGATCAGACCTAGAATCCCAAGGCAAAACAGTCTCTGAACCTCATCCTTAAACCCATGCTGTCCTTTCCATACCCCAAAACACCATTCCCATCTCCACCTCCAACTGTACCTACTGCTCTAACCTCGTGCCCACCCGATCCCCAACTCCAGTCCTGACCCCAGAGCCATGCCACCTATCTTCCCGCCTCAGCCAATTCCCAACACCATCTCCGTGTCTGACTATCCCGGGGCCCCTCCAACCTCATGCCCAACTCCATTCCTGCCTTCCAATCCCATCCCTAATCTCAATCTCACATCTCCTACTCCCACCCATTCCCGTTCCAGCCCCCACCGCCAACCCAATTCCTCCATGCTAAACCACGCTTACCCGCAACTTGGTTGTTCTCATTCCTGCCTCAACCCAACCCAAGGCTCCTCTGTCATGTCATCCCAAACCCAAACCCCGAACTCAATCCCATCCTGATCTGTCCCAGTCTCTCCATTTCCCCCCTCCTTATTTTCAGAGCCCCGCCCCGCCCCCGTGGCATGCCTAGGGACCCCACTCCATAAAGAACCCTGTTGGCCCATGACAAATGGTCACCTGCACCCGCTCCTCCATTACCCGACCTTGGGTGATGGGGGACTCTGGTCCAGCAACAAATGGATGACCGTCTCAATAAAAAAGAACAAGAACAAAGATTGGCTTTAAAAAACAGAAATGTATTTTCTCGCAGTCTGATTCTTTCTAAGGGATACCTGGTGTTTGGTGCACGCCATCAATCCTTGGTGTCCAGCATGTTCCTTTGCCTGTTGACAGGTCCTCACATGGCACCCAGACTCCCTTGCGTGTGTGTCTCTGTGTCTATTGTCCTCCTTCCATACCTCAGAAGTGATTAGGCTTACGACAGACCAACGCTACTATCGCATGGCCTCATTAACGTAACAAAACCCGCCGTTTCTAAACATGGTCCTATTTACATGTATAGGATTTTAACACATATTTGGGGTAGGGCATAATTCAATCTGTAACATGCTTGCACTTGTTTGCTGCTTTAATTGCTACCTGCTCAGGAGCAGGGCCCGTGTCAGATGTCATGCGTGTGCATGGTGGAAGAGAAAGCTGCTGAGGTCTTACTGAGAATTGGAGAAACTGGAAATTCCCGGAGGGATTGCTCTCTCGCTCCCTCACACTTTTCCACTCTCTCGCTCTCTGGCTTTCTCTACAGTACTTGAAACCCAAATATCGAAGAGTACCCTTGCCGTCCAAATACGCGCTGGAGCTGTTGACCATCTACGCCTGGGAAATGGGTACCGACAGGAAGGAGCACTTTGAGATGGACGAAGGCTTTGCCGCTGTGCTGGAGCTCCTCAGGGACCACGAAAGCATCTGCATATACTGGACCAAGTACTACGATTTCCAAAACGAGGTGGTCAGAGACTGCATCAAGCAGAAGTTGAAGGAATCCAGGTGAGGGGGGGTTGGTTTCAACTCCACGGGATAGAAGACCCACGTCAAACAGTTTTTTAAAGGAAAGGGTCAATCGTTGACCTTATAACCGAAGGTCCCAGAGGTAGAAGCTTCAGGTATGAAGTGATCTAGACCATCGCTATGTTGCCAGGGTCCTGAGCCTGGGAATCACTCAGCTTTGCCAGTCGAGGCTTCCTGTTTTTAGTTCAAGCTAATTCCCTCCTGGCTGTGTGAGACTTAAGCTTCTCCTCTGGAAATGGACCTTCTAATAGCCCAGTGGTTCTCAACCTGTGGGTTGCGACCCTTTTGGGGGTCAAACGACACTTTCACAGGGGTCACTTGAATTATAACAGTAGCAAAATGACAGTTATGAAGTAGCAATGAAAATAATTTTATGGTTGGGAGTGGGGGCGGGGGATCCCCACAACATTAGAAACTGTATGAATGGGTCATGGCATTAGGAAGGTTGAGACCCACTGCAGTATAAGATTGCTCCAGCATTGCTAGCAAAAAATCAGAGATAAATCTTGACTGGGCATGCCTTAGTTATAGTCCCACTCTTGAAACAAGAAGTTCGGCATGCAGGGAGCCCACCCTACCCAGAGGCAGGCACTTAACCCCTCTGAGCTCCTAAGATCAGAACCAGGAATGTGACTCAGGCTCACCCCTTTTCTCTCCCAGACCCATCATCCTGGACCCAGCTGACCCCACCAATAACCTGGGGAAGGGGAAGAGGTGGGACTTGGTAGCTGCAGAAGCTGCGTTTTGCCTGCAACAGCCCTGCTGCCGGATTGAAGATGAGGGTTGGCACGTACAGGTATGACCGCCCCCCGCCCCTGCGTCATGACTGATGGTGACTTCACTTTAACCCCCATGAATCTCCCACAACTCCTGCCCCAGCACCCACAAATCCCCCAACACCTCCCCTTAGAGATGTCCTGGCCAACCAGGTGTGCATTTCCTGCCCTCCTCCTGAAAATGCCCGGCCACAACTCTTCCTGCCTTTCCTGCACTATGCCTTCCCCTCCATAGCCAATCGAGGGGGTGTGTGTCAAAGAAAATGCTCACATAGAAGCATCGTGGAAGACAACGTTTCCTTTCATCATGTTTGGTCAGAACCTCCACTTCTTGATATTGAATCAGAGATTTAATAGATACACCCAGAAATTAGATAACAACAGCACAGGGTCCCACAGACCCCAGCTCTGGCCAGGCCCCTTCCCCCTGCGTAGATCACTGCTCTCCTCGCCTGAATGTGCCCCGGGCCACCGTCCTAGATCAGGACTTGCCTATGAGCTTACCGAGAAGTCTAATGCCCTCCAACCTGCTACTCCCAAATGGGCTTGTCACCTGGGACCACGTGTCAGACCCCACGGGGACATTCTGTGACTGGCTGCCAACCAGCCCCGCTGCACCTGAAACAAGTTAGATGCCCACCACACAGCTAGATGGGCCACAACCTCCAGGTCAAATCGGCTGCCTATGTCTACCCGATCACAGGTCCCTGCGTGGGACAGGCCAGTACTTCTGTTTCTTGCTGAGACCCCGTCCCATAAGCATCAGTATTGTTATGATTACTATTTTATATTTTGTGAAAAAATATGTCCACAGTAATTTTTTAAGTTAACTGTTGAAGGGTATGTACAAAGCAGTAAGTCTTCTTTTTATCTCCACCCCCAGATTCTCCGGTCTATACCTTTCCGGACATCCACAGATCAATTTCTTCCATTTCCTCCATGGATATACCATCCATGCACAACCTCTTGACTGTGTCTGGTTGTGCAGCCTAGGTTGTGTGTGTGTGTGTGTGCGCGCATGTTTTTACGTTTTCACTTAAATCATTAAGCTTTTCAGTAACTAATTTAAAATAACTTAGACAATTCCATATTTGCAGATACAGGTCTAACAGATATCTTCCTATAATGTAACTTTCAACCCGGGATACTCTTGAGAGTGAACGGTCATGGTATGAAAAGCGAGGACAAAAATAAGATATAATAAAAGCTAGGACAACAGGCATGAACCAGGACTGCCCTAGACGATTAGAGACAGAGTGTTATCCTCAATCGAATCCATCTTTTGTCTCGCCTCATCAGACTCCCATGCAGGAAAGTACTTTGATTTCGAGAACAAGTGACTTATGGACAGATTTTGGGGGGCTATTTCCAGACTTGCTAGTGCAGTAGTCATCCTTAAGTACACTGCATCTCTTAGCACACCATGACCAATGCCTCACATATGTGAAATCATTTGTCCTCATTGGAGGACAGAGGATGACCCAAGGTCCTAGGAGCCTCAGACAACCAAATGCCCTGCTTTGCCTGGGACAGTCCAAGCTCATGTCTGGTGTCCCCCAGAATTATTGGTAGCATCTACTTCTCCTTTTAAAAATGCTTCTGTCGGGGGTGGTAGGTTGCATGGTCAGTTGACAGACGAGGGGCTTTGGAGACAACCCTCAGTCATGATCACCCAGGGACCCTCACCTATCTCTACCTCCCTTTCAGAGCGCAAGAGACGTCCAAGTGACCTTGAGGATGACGGGCGAGGATGATCACACACTCTTAGTGAACCCCTACAGCCCCATTTGGAAAATGAAGAAAGAGATCAAGGATAGGATTTTCCTGTCTGGAAACTTGCGCCTCTCCTTCCAGGAGCCAGGTGGGGACCGAAAACCACTCAGCAATAGGCAGAGCCTTTCGGATTATGGTATCTTCTCTAAAGTGCGCATCCGGGTGCTGGAAATCTTCCCCCCCGAGATTCAGGTCTTTGTGAAGGAAACGAATGGCCAGAACAAGCCTTATGCCGTCAACCCTGATGACTTGATCGTGGATTTGAAAGACAAGATTGAGGCAGCAGGAGGGCCTGATGCAGAAGATCAGATACTAAAGTTCCAGAATCGGAAACTGAAGAACCATCGCACCTTTAGAGATCTGGACATTGAAGACTGTGACACCATCGTGCTCATCAGGAAAGGGTGACAGTTCCTGCAAGGCCCTAGGAGTGGCCCATGATCTACACACTTGATGCTCCTGTCACCCCAGTGTATAACTAAGTCCCTAGCACACAAATCGTTCACCCTTGAGGCCTTTGCCCAGCAATGGCCTCTTCCCTGGCCAGGGGAAGACATCCTTTTTAAGACTCACCTCAAGCAGGTATCCACTAACAACACGTGACCCCAAAGCAACCCTTGTGTCGCTAGGCCTTCCATCAAGACTGCCACCGTTCTTTTTCCTTATCCCCCATCACACCAGACTCTCAGTCTTGTTTCTTATCTCCCTTCTGCTCTGGGAGTTCCTTGGGGTGGTGGGAAACACTACTTTCCCTTGCTAATACCAGCCGCATAGCAGTCACGCAATGAATAGTCAGTGAATGAGCAGTAATATTTGCATTTACCGTGGGCTCCTCCTACTCCATGTGTTGCATATATCATTATCGTCTTTAATCTGTACAGCTAACCTAAAGAGTGGGTATTAGTATGAAGCCCATTTTATGAATAAAGACTGTGACGTTAAAAGCCTGGTAAAATGTGAGAGGTTAAAAGTCCGGTTAAAAAAATAAAAATGTGGGGAGGGGCGGGGCGAAATGAGCTGATACCAAAGGCTCAAGTAGAAAGAAAATGTTTTGAAATCGATGATGGCAACCTATGTACAAATGTGCTTGACACAATGAATGGCTGTCTGGATTGTGATAAGAGCTGTAAGAGCCCTTAATAAAATGCTTTTAAAAATAAACACATACAAATAAAAGGATTAAACTTATAAACACAACAAATACTTATACATCGGTGTTCACTGAAGCACTATTCACAGTAGCCAAAAGTGGAAACAGCCTAAAACAAAACATAATACTTACGTACAATGGAATACTACTCAGCCATAAAGATCAACGAAGTCCTGACACATGCTACGATATGGAGTAAAACAAAACCAAACCCAAAAAACCCTCCCTGCTATCAAGCCAATTCTGATTCTCAGGGATCCTATGGACAAAACAAAGTTGCCCCTTTGGGTTTCCAAAGCTATCACACTTTACAGGAGCAAAAAGTCTCAGCTTTTCCCCAAGAATTGATTGGTGGGTTTGAATGGCTGCCTTTGAGGTTTGCAGCCCAACATGTAAACCCACTATACTATCAGGACTCCTACAACCTGGATGGACCTTGAAAATATCGTGATGAGTTGAATGAGTCGGTCACAAAAGGACAAACATTGTATGAGCTCATGCGCGTGAGGTATCTGAAATAGACGAATGGATAGAGATCTAAGTTTATTAGTGTTTCCCAGAGTGGGAAGGGGGGGGATGAGAGCACACTGCTTAGGGGACAGCGAACCCCTGTTAAGGGTGATGATATAATTTGAATATTTGACTACAGATAAAGGTAGTGGTTGGACAACCAGACAAACTCAATGAATGTGCTTGTGCTTGAACTGGACATGTAAAGATGGCCGAAGTGCCCCGTGCTCACCTTCCATAGTAAAACAATGTGTCAGTCTGGACTAGAGAAACAAATTCATAGACACTCATATGGGTATAAGAAAGAGCTTTATATATACAAGAGTAATTCAATATTGAGAGAACATCCCAGCCCAGTCCAGATCAAGTCCTTAAGTCCGATATTAGTCCATATGTGTGATACCAATCTATAAATTTTTCTTCAGACTCACAAAACACATGCAATGATGCCAAATGCAGGAAGATCACAGGCCAGAGGGTGGAAGTCTTATGGATCAAGTGGCAGTGGAAGCATCTCAGTGCTGCCGTGGGGCTCCACGGGGCTCCTCCAGCTCCAGGCCTATGGCTCCATCAGTGTAGCTCCATCAGGCTCTGCTCAGGAATGCCTCACAGGGAGTGAGCATGTCCCGCCTCCAGCGAGCTATTTATCTCCTTAATGGCTCCCAATGAGGTCATCGAGCTGTGATCTGATTGACAGGCTTAATTCCATCCCTTCACTCTTAAGTCTCAAGTTGACAACAGAGTATGTAACTACCACAAACAAAATGGCTAAAATGGCTAACTTTTTGTTATATATATATAACATATATATAATATATCTATAAAACCACAGTAGAAAATTTTAAATAGTAATTTGTAAATGGTGTCATGCCTGACAACTGTGAGGGAGAAACAATCACATACAAAGGATCCTCACTAAGATTAAATGTCAACTTTCCCTAAGAAACATTGGCGGTCAGAAGAGAATGGAATGGTATATTGAAAGCGAGTACTGAAAGTAACAAACAAACAAATGTTAACCAAGAATTCTACACCCGATGAAAGTACCCTTTAAGAGTAAAGGTGAAATTAAAATATTTCCAAACAAACTAAGAACCAGAGTGTTCCCATCCGCCAGACTAGCCCTACAAGAACACTAATGAGCGCTCTACAGATGGCAGAGAAAAAGCACCAGAAAGCAATACAAACCTATACATTCAACAACAACACATTCAACACATATGGCCATTGACAACTAGGCAATGCTGATTCATAGGAACTACACATAAATATATATATATATGTATAAATCATATATATATATGATTTCCAAGGCTGTAAATCTTTAAGGGAGCAAACAGCTTCATCTTCCTCCCACAGCGATTGGTGGGTTTGAACCACTGACCTTGAAGTCAGCAGCGCAATGCCTAACCCACAGTGCCACCAGGGCCCCATAGGGACAAACGTCAAAGCTACTAATAAGGTCTTCATGCTTGGTCATTCTAAATGTCTCATCCTTCATATTTTCATAACGAATGTACAAAAGGGAAAGATAAACCACGAGAGGGTAAGGCCGCCACAGTACGAAGGGAGATGTGACAGGACACAAAATAAAAAGACATAATTTATGATAAGAACAACGAAAGCATGCAAGAGATCGATACAGATTTGGAATTGTTTGGAAGGGCATAACTCAGTATGGCACAAAAGTTACATTGTTATCAATGGATCATAAAGTATTATAAATGCAAACTATTAAATGTTTGGGTTTTTTACTTTTTAAATTTTATTTTTATTTTTTTGTTTTTTCACTTTTTATTGTGATTTGAGCAAAGACTTTCAGGAAGCAATTCGTATCCGTTGTGCGATCCCCACGGGATAGCACCCCTCACCCCACTTCCTTCTAGGGTTTCTGTTCCCACTGTTCCTTCTTTCCATAATCCTGCCTGCCTCCTGAACTTCCTGCCTGCAGCTTCTGAAAACGCCGCCCTAAGGAGTGCCTACCTCCCTGGTGTTCACCTTCTAACTCGCTGTCACTGTGTCCAATCTGACTCAGAGAGACCCTACAGGACAGAGTAGCACTGCTCCCGGGGGTCCTGAGACTGTGAATCTCTACAGCAGAGGGCAGCTTCACGTTTCTCCCCAGCAGCTGTGGGTGGATTTGAAGCATGGACCTAGTGGTTAACAATGCAACGCATAACCCACTGCACCACCAGGTCTCCTGTTAACCCTATCGTCCTGTCTAGTGTCTGGCTGAAAATTGAGCCACGGGGGTGAATCTGGTTCCAGGTCTGAAGGGTGACAAAGGACCCGTGGTCTCAAGGGTTCCCCAAGACTCTTCCAACCAGTAAGACTAATCTCTTTCATGATTTTGGAGGTCTCTTCCACATTTTTCTCCCACTCTACCCAGGACCTTCTCATGTGATCCCATTCAGACAAACGCTTAATGTAAATATTCATGGTAACCACCAAGAAGATACCCATTTCCCTGTGCTTCTATATGTTACTGAAACTTTTTTATTGTGAATTAGGGGAAAGTTTACAGAGTGGGTCATAATTTTATGTTCCACGATTGTGAACTATAAAGTTAAGGTTCATGCCCTGAAGCAATTGAGCCTGATCAATAACCACTCCAAGTGGAACAGAGAGAGCGAACTAGATTTTACTTGGAGGCTAGCCAGGCACCTATCCTTCCAGCAACATGGCTGTGTGGTAAGTTCTCTCCCTTTCCCAATTTCCCACACAATATTGATACTGTTTTCTTCTAATAATAAAAAGCATGAGCACATGAAAGAAGGATTCCAACATTTATTACCTTGGCATTTAATTTCTAACTGACTTTTTTTATCAGTTGTACATAATGACCAAGGGGTTCAATTAGACTCCCAGCAGGGTTCAGCTGTCAGGCATCAGAAGACCCAAAGCAAACAATCATATCGATGCAAACAAGGGAGGTGCAGAGTGGAGACCCAAAGCCCATCTGTAGACAATTGGACAGCCCCTCAGAAAAGGGTCACAAGGAAGGGACGAGCCAGCCAGTGTGCAGTATAGCGCCGACGAGACACAAACATTTCTCTAGTTCTTTAATGCTTCCTTCCCCCAGCTATCATGACCCCAGTTCTACCTTACAAATCCAGCTACATCAGAGCATGCACACGGGTACAGATAAGAGCTCTGGACACGCGGAATCCAGGACAGATAAACCCCTCAGGACCAATAATGGGAGTAGTGACACCATGAGAGTAGGGGGAAGGTATGGGGAGAAAGGGGAAACCCATCTCAATGATCAACGTATGTATAAGTACCACCATCCCCCCACCCAGGGTGATGGACAACAGAACCATGGGAGAAGGTAGGCAGCAGGTGGCTAAGATATGAAAACAATCATTTATAATTTATCAAGGGTTCGTGAGGGAGGGAGGGGAGGGGAAAAGAGGCGCTGACATCAGGGCTCAAGTAGAAAGACAGTGTTTGAGAAGGATGATGGCAACATCTGCACAAATGTGCTTGACATAATGGATGGATGGATGGATTGTGATAAGAGCTCTAAGAGCCCCCAATAAAATGATTAAAAATATGGTAGCAGACTGAGTGCCAAGTCTGTTTTGTCTGACTCTGGAGTTTTCACTTCTTTCCCCCACCCCACGCAAGTCCCTTCTCGTTCTTTTTTTAAAAATGAGTTTATTTTCAACAATTTCATGGAGATACAAATTCTATATCACACCTTTCCATCGCATTCATACGAGTCGTCCAACCATCACCCCAATCAATTCCTGCACATTTCTTCCTCCTTACACTCAACGTTAGCTCCCCATTTCCTGCCAGCCTCCCCCGCCACGTCCCTTTGAATCCAGTTGCCTCTATAGGTTTACCTGATCTGGGTTTCACAGAGAGAAAATCAAACAAAAATCACAACAGAACGCAAGCACACGGTGCAACAACAGTAACACAATGAAACAAAGAAAAATCTCAAGAACGAAACGGAAGTGGGTAAACGCTGGAGCAGTTGTACAGGGAGATCCCTTTCCTTTCTGGGCCTCCGTTTCCTTTTGTTGTTTGTCCCCAAGGCGGCCCGTTGGACTGCCATTCAACTCCCATTTACTGCCAGAGGGCCTTCCTCCATGACCGAACTCATTTCGGTTTCCAAACGTCATAAAAGGGAAACTCAAAAGGCTGAGAATCGAAACTAGCAGCGGGCAGGCTGGCCGGACGCCAGGCTCTTTAAGGTGGCCCAGGCTTCCCGCGTCAGCCCAGTGTCCCTGTGCATCACTGCCTCAGCGATGGGCTCCTAGCAGGGTGGCCGCTGGCAGGCCATCATCCCGTTCCCTCCCAGCTCCAGCCCTGGACCCCCCACAGGGCGGGAGTCAGTTGCCGCCTTCACGGAGTGGCTGTGTGTTTTCCAGGACAGGTGTGTGGCTGTCTCTGCCCAGCCGTGGTACTCTGGAGCCAGGATGGCGCTGGCTCCGGAGCTGTTTGACACCCCTGCCTCCAGGCTGGATTCCTTTGTGGCTCAGTACCTGCTGCCCAGCCGGGAGTGGAAAGCGAAGATGAAGAAGGTCGTGCGAACTGTGGAGCGGTTCCTGAGGGAGGAAGACTTCCAGGCCGAGCACCGCCTGGGCCAGGAGGTGCGGGTGCTGAAGGTTGTCGAGGTGAGACTCGTCTCTTCCATGCCAGGGCAAAGGATGGGGCAACACCTGGGCTGCATCACTCGTGATGCCGGGGCGCCCTTGCCGACTCACCCCTAACCCACGCTGCTGCTCACAGCTTGAGTTCTGCCGGCTTTTGCCTGCCTACCCAGACCAGGCAGCTGCCTTGAGCAGAACAGGTCTACTAAGAAAAGTACTGAGAACAGCTCACACTCTGAGGGACACGCATCGACCCCCTAAGCATGGGGCATCTCCCCAATGGTCGTACTCTGCGATGTAGCTATCATGTGACAGCTGAGCAAAGTAGCGGCTTGGAGACAACCGATGTAACATGTAACGTGTGGTCTTTGGCTGGGTTCTGGCTCGCAGAATCCATCTGTAGAATACACCTTGGAGACACTGGGAAAGTTCTCATATGGCCTGGGTGTCAGGTGATGGAAGAGCAGCATTGTTGGTTTTGATCGCTGTAAGACAGGCGGATGCTGGGGCTATTGTGGGGTCAGTTCCAGATCACCTCAATAAAGGGACGATCACAGTAACGCGAGTTACGAGAATGGTTTTGTTTGTTTCCTCGTGCATATGAAGGGAGCTCTGGTGGCATGGTGATTACACAGTGGGCTGCAACCCACAAGGTCAGCAGTTCGAGCCTACCAGCAGTTAGTCGCTATGAGTCAGCACATCGATGGCAGTGAGTTTGAGCTTGGAGTGCATATAAGAAGTTGTATTTGCACTCTATTGTAGTTTGCTTACAGCTAAAGATTTAAGGGATATAGTATCCTGATATCTGAAATTCACTTTAAAATGGTTTAGATGAAGCAAACGAGTCGAGGTGTGTATATCTGTTCATTCTAACTGGCTGGACAGAGGTGTGTTCATTGTATTTTCTGAATGTTTTCACATTAAGAATATTTTTTACAGGCTCCGAGCAGTGAAGTGATTTGCCTAAAGCCACATAGCTAGTCTTAGAGCTAGGATTTGCATCATAGTCTGTCTGTTTAACTCCACAGCCAGGACTCTGGGCTGTCCCACTGAGAGGTTTCCCCTAAATCCTTCCTCCAGCTGCCTTATGTCGCCTCCTGTCCTAACGAGGGTCAAAATCCAAGAGGGTCAGAGCTAGAATTAGAATCAGACAGTCTTAGCTGGTCCAACAATGAACCACTGAGAACACAGAGGCATAGAGAGGGTGAGAGACGTCCCTTGATCACACAGCAAATTGGTGGCAGAGACAAGACTAGAGTGGGGATTCCTGACTTTGAGCCCAGTGCTAAAGTTCTCACTTCAGGGGTCTCCACTCCAGGGAAGGAATCTGAAGCCTGAGCCCCCCACCCCTTCTTGTCACCCATCTGCGCTATGGTTCAGATATAAGACCCAGAAGTTTTGCTACCAGAAAGATCTGGTTCCTTCACTTATATAGGTCCTGTGACATTGAACTTATTGGATCTCTCAAGTCCTTGGTCTTGTCATTGGCAATTAAGAGTACAGTGAACCCTCGCCACTTCGCGCTTCGACTTCCGCGGCTTCACTCTATCGCGGTTTTTGTGTAACAGTGCATGCTCTGTCATTACTGCTACTGATTGGCTCATACTGTACACGCTTCTGTCTGCATCGCTATGTATCGGAACTACGGATCAGATGCATTTTTGCTTTTGTACAGTGTACTGTAATTGTTTGCGATTTTTAAGAAATTTTATCTAAGCCCTATGATGGCTCCTAAATGAGCTGCTTCTTCTAAGCCTTCTGACAATAAAAATAAGCACCAGAGGAAGATGCTCACCATCTAGGAAAAGGTAAAACTTTTGGATATGATCAAAGATGGCAAGAAAATCATGGAGGTTGCACGCCATTTCGACTTGAATAAGGAATCCTACTTCGCAGAATTTCATTTATCACGGTAGGGTCTAGAACCGATTACCGCGATAAACGAGGGTTCACTGTATCATTATCATGATGATGATGTCATCATTGTTTTGGGTGCCGTCCAGTTGGTTCCAAATCATAGCAACTCCATGCACAACAGGAGAAACATCGCATCATCATCACCACCACCACCACCGCTCCCTCAGTGCCATCGAGTCAAAGTCTACTGCGACTCCTGGCGACCCTGTAGGACAGAGTAGAACAGCCCAGGTGGGTTTCTGAGATTGCAACTCTTTACAGAAAGTACAAAGCCTCATCTTCCTCCCTCGGAGCAGCTGGTGGTTTTGAACTGCTGACCTCGCGGTGTGAAGCCCACATTCCCTCACACGAGGCAGCGCAGGTTGAGGGATTAGTGGTTCCTGGTGAATGTTTCGAAAGAGAAGCATGGTGATCGTTCTTGACGAACCGTTCTTCTGGGAATGGAGCGCAAGTCTGACTTACACAGCGCTTCCCAGACCCTGGCTCTCAGCCCTGAGAATGAAGTGGCAGGGAACGAGGAAAGACAGGGGAGAGGGGGACCTTACAAAGAGAATGAGTTTTGAGGGCGGCAAGTAGTCATTTCTCAGCCCTCAAAACCTGCTCACAGATCATAACCACGTCTCCCCTGAAGACCACTACGTGGTAGAGGCATCCATGGACCCGAGCGCTCCAAGGTCAGCTGTCAAGGATCATTTCTGGACTGTAATCCCCAGCACAGGAAGTCTGGTCATCAGGGTGGGTGACGTGAGTGAATGCTGCTGTCCTTGAACGAGCTGGGGCTTCAGGAGGATTGAACGAAGGACTTAATGGAGGCTTTCACCCATTACTAACCAAATGGTCGGGGACTTGAACCCACCCCCCAGCTCTGTGGAAGTAAGGGCCTGATGATCGGCGGACTTCTGTCAAAAGATGACTGCTCTGGCCCCTAGTGTTGCAGCTGGTAGCTTTGAACGGCCAAATTGTAGGTCAGCAGCCCAGTGCTGACACCTGCCACTCCGCCGGGGCTCCTTGGAATGACCCCCAACCAAACATTATAGAGCAGACAGGATAATGCCCACTTGGTAGATGGGAAACCTGAGGCTCCGAAGCCCTGCCTTGGCGTCCTTCAGAAGCAGGAGCTCTGGAGATGGGCTGTCTGGGTCAGACCCAGCTACCCTGGGACCAGGAGCGAGGGGTATAGCCTCTTGATATCTTAGTATTCTCACCTAGAAAGTGGGGACGTGAGTACGACCCCTCAGGGCTGTGGCGAGCATCAGATGGGATGCCCCTGGTGGGTGTCGGTTCCCATGGAGCTGGTTCCATCTCCTGGCAACTGACCAGCATGTCTCTGAGTAGGATCATGCTCCACGGGGTTTCGACCTTTTGGAAACAGATCACCATGTCTGTCTCTCTAGGCACCACTGGGGGGCTGCTGGGGGAGGGGAGGGGGGACGGCGGAGTGAGGGGTAGGGGGTCCAACAGTCAGTCCAAACAGTCAGTCCTTCAGTTAGTGGTCCAGCCCTTAACCATGTACGCCGCCCGGTACTCTCAAAGGGGCTGCTTGGTGTGAAGTTGATAAGGCGTGGCACAGGGTGACAGGTGTTTGGCGCTTGCTCCGCAGGCGGACTCCTCTGGAAATGGCACGGCGCTCAGGAATGCTGCGGAGGTGGAGTTGGTGGTGTTCCTGAGCTGTTTCCAAAGCTTCCGGGAGGAGACCAAGTTCCACCAGGCCGTTCTGAGCCTGATACAGAAAAAACTGTGGCGTTGCCGGGACCTGCTGGCCCTCGGACTCCAGGAGGTCTACGTGGCCCGGGGAGTCCCCGATGTTCTTGTCGTCACCATCCAAACCAGTGAGATCTTGGAGCTCGTCACCGTCACCATTGTGCCCGCCTACAGGGCCCTGGGTAAGGGGAAGGGGAAAACCTATTTGCCTTGATCACCCGCCCTCTGGGGACTTGCAATTCCTTCACTCATCAGGCCTGTCCCATGCATGCCTTCTTGTCCTATGCTGGGGGTGAGGGTCCCCAGTGCACAGGACTGGCCCAAATCTGGTCATCATTGACCTCTCCCCGGGAAATGGAGATGAGTATGAGTCACGCAGACAAAGGGACGATGGCAAATGGGGGTTAAATGTGCCGAGGACGAGAACAAGGCATCCTGGGTGCCTAGGAGAAGGAGCTATAACAGACCACAATGGGCTTCAGGGATGCTTACTGTGGGTGCAGGGGCCTGTACTTGCTTGAGTTTTCCCAGAAGCAGACCCTGGCCCAAGGATCTGAAGGCAAGCAATTTATTTGAGAGATGATTCCAAGGACAAACTGGTCGGGAAGTTGGGAAGTGAACAAGGGTGAATCTAGTCGCCTTTCAGGACAGGAATGGGAACTCCCTTACACCCATCCCTCACCCACCTCCCTATTCCCCTGCCTATGACTCCACCTTTGGCCAAACAACAGAGAGGTCTAGAAGGGGAACAACACCACTAGGAACACAGGAACCGCTTGGTATAGTGAACCAGAGGAGACCAACATGGCGTCATTTACACAAGAGCAAAGTGGAGAAGGGTTAGGAATGAAAACAGGAAACAGACAGCAAGTGGGATAAGCGATGTTACATTGTGGGAAATGCAGTTAATGACAGGAAGCAGAATGCGTACAAATAGCTGAATGGAAGTAGACTTTCTCTGTAAACCTTTTCACCCAATTCACAATAAAAACGTTTAAAGAGATTGTGTGTGTGTGTGTGTGTGTGTGTGTGTGTGTGTGTA